TTTTTTTTTGTTTTGCATAGTAGGATGGGTATTGAATGGTAAAATAGAAATTTTTTTAATTTTTCACATATGTACATACACTGCCGGAACAAAGTATTGGCACAGCAAATTTTTCACAATATATGCAACAATTTTCATTCTAATATTTTTCCGATTTTTAAAAATTTTTTTGGATATGCAGATTGTAACCTAATCAATTATAATAAAGTGCAAGTTTTAAGTAGCTAGGAATTACCGTTGCTTTTTGGCAATCTTTTTTCACGCAGTCTCTTCCATACAAAATTTTTTTCGAAAATACTTTATATGGAAAAAATGCAAAACACCTTCAACCAAAAAATTCCCAAAAATCAGCGCGATTTTTGACTATCTCCGAACTTGCATTTTTTTTTACTAGAATTTAACGAGCTGAAAAACTGCATACTCAAAAAAATTCGAAAAAATCTGGTTAAAAAGTTGAAAATTTTGATGAAAATTTGCTGAATTTTCGCGAGTTCTGCACAAAGTTTAGGAATTGTATTTTTATGTTTTTTGTAGTTGAATAAACCATGTTTTTATACAAAATTGGCGGAAAAATATTAGAATAAAAATTGTTGCATATATTTACGCCTTTTGTCCTTTATTTCTTAAACTGTCCTTTAAATCGGCTCTGCATTTTTCAGAGTTGATAAATTTTTAAACGCAGAATATGAAAAGTAAAAATGTCCCTTATAAAATATAATGAAAACCTTCGCCAGTTTGTTTCGCACCCCACTTAAGGGTTTCTGTTTAATCGGTAATCTTTATACAATCTATAAAGCACAGGAAAAGTTGTGCCCAGGATCGTGTTGTACGCAGAGTTTCCAGTTCCACTGAAAGAGAACAATAAACCCCCTTCTGCACAGTGATTCAAAACTGGCATTTAGTGTTCGTAATTCACTGGAGCCTTCATTTTTTCACTTAATATGATTAATTTTTATTTTTTATGAAAGCTTACAATATTTGCAAGAGACCAGTTGAGCTTGATTTCTGAACATTTATTTGATAATGTTAAATTTTTTAGTGCAAAATTCAGATAAAGTAGCAATTTTGAAGAAAATGTATTCTCCTGTTCCAGTTAATAAATGTTACATAAAAAAAGACTAGTTCAAAACAATTGTATGTTTCTCCCAAACCAAAAAAAAATACATACAAAAAAATTTGAAAATGTTATAAAAAAATGTTCACCAAAATAAATATTTTTTTGGTTTTTAGTAAAAATTGGTGGAAAATGAAGGCTCCAGTGGATTATGAACATTGAATTCCAATTTTGTACCACTGTGTGCTGGCTTCGGCGTGCAGTATGAATTATGATAAACGCATTTTGGTAGCAAAGGATGGCGAAGTCCTTGGAAAGGATTTGGTTTAATTTTTCGCTACAGCAGGGGAACTTGTACAGTTAAATAATATAGGTAAGGTACTTTTATCATACAAGTTGTATGTACGTATTCCCAAATCATTTTGAAAAAAAGTCCTTTATTTTACGTTGGTTAATATGGTCACCGTACATATATTGTGAAAAATTTGCTGTGCCAATACTTTGTTCCGGCAGTGTATGTACAGTTCCGAAAAAAAGTATTGGCACAGAGAATTTTTCGTACTGTATGCAAAGTTTTTTACTCTAATTTCTTTTCGCATTTTTTTTTAAATATACAATGTACATTGAAGAAGCATGCAAACATATATATGTATGTATGTACATTAGACCGCCGCTGTGGTGTAGTGGTAAGCAGTGCGCGCTTCCACTCCACAATGCCTGGGTTCAAACCCTGGTCAAAGCAACATCGCAAAAATATAGAAAAAAGGTTTTTTCTTAACAGCGGTCGTCCCTCGGCAGGCAATGGCAAACCTCCGAGTGTATTTCCGCCATGAAAAACAGCTTCTCATAAAATACAATCGCCGTTCGGAGTCGGCGTAAAACTGTAGGTCCCTCCGCTTTGTGTGACAACATCAAGGCGCACGCCACAAATCGGAGGAGAAGCTCGGCCAAACACTAACATATGTGTAAGCGCCAATCTATTATTATTATGTACATTAGACTGCATCACCCCCCATACAAAAAAAATCGGTACTGTGTTTCCATTGGAATTATAAAATCTATTAAAATTTAAAACTTTCACCTAAATATTTCGGAAAAATATTAAGATTTACGGGAGCTGGACCGATTTGGATATACCTCCAAAAATTGAGTTTTTTAAGAATCAAAAAAGTTTCTCAAAGATTTTTTTCAACAAAATCCCCTCACATGACGGTTTAAGCTTAAATAATTTGTTATTGTTGTTGTTGTAGGCTAGTCGATCGATTACTTTCGTGTGCAAGAAAACCACTTTTTTCTTCACGTTTTGCCCAACGTTTCGCTAATCACCTTAGCATCTTCAGGGGCGCATCTTTATTTACATAGACATCAACAATAAACAAAGAACAATGTTATCGACAAATATTGATATACGTATGTACATAATTACAAAAATTAGGTTAAATATTTGAAAAACAACAAACGAAGATACAAACACAAAGGGACAATCACAGGTTTTTTGATTTTAACTGTGGCACTTACTCATAGTTAAGATTTAATTTACACTGGACATTTGGAAATATTTTGAAAAATTGAAAAACACCAAAAACATTGAAACGTATTGAACAGTGAACATTAAACATTAACTTATTAAAAATATTGATACCATCGCTGTGTGGTACTCTCGTCATACTAAATGTTTATTACAAGCATAGCATATAAGCAGCCGCTGCTGCTGTTTTTTAACTTTTTTCAAAGGTTGGTGTAAGAAAAACTTGTGAGGTATCATTGGAAAGGTATTTTGTCACCCTTTTTATTTCTTTGCTAATAAACTCTTTCAAAGGATGAAAGAGAAAGGTAGGATGATCGAACGTCATTCCAAGTTGAATTAAGATGTGTTGGTATTTGAAAAAAAGTTGGGATGTGAATGAGTTTCTTTTTTTTTGTACAGAAATAAAAAGAGTGGGAAAATACATTTTTACTGAGACCCCACAAGTCTAAATCAGAATAGTTTTGGCCCAGTAGTTATTCAAGTTTTTCGTAAATCAATCCTTGAAAAAGGTTAAAAAAGAGCACCAAAAATCACATTATTACGATTCCGTTGAGAAGATTTTTAGATATTTTTATGCAGCTTTTTTAAGCTTAATCTGTTTTGCCATCCGAGGGCTTTTTTTCAAAAAGTTCTTTAAGAAACTATTTTTATTCATAAAAAATTCTCTTTTTTAAATAGGTCCAGCTAACATAAATCTTAATATTTTTCTGAAATATTTTGGTGGACGTCTTCAAATATAATACATTTTATAATCCCGGCGGAAAAAACGGCACCCTGAAATTGTGCATATGGAAACTGTGCATACGAAATAATGCATATGAAAAAAAACCGAAATAATGCATATAAATATGCACAGTTTCGGTTGAAAACCGCAATAATGCATATTAGAAAAACCGAAATTAGGCATATGCACACTTTCGTCTGAAAACCGAAATAATGCATATGAGAAAATCGAAGTAATGCATACATGCACATTTTCGGTTCAAAATCGAAATAATGCATATGAAAAAACCGAAGTAATGAATATATGCACAGTTTCGACTCAAAACCGAAATAATGCTTATGACAAAAATCTAACTAGTGCACACATGAAAACGAACTTCTTTCTGCGTAGGCGCTTAGGGATTATAACCCTTACTAAGTATAATTTTCTTTTCTGTGTTGCCGGAAAAGGGGGGGGGCGGAAGTATTTTTGCGCAGAACTTCTTTTTGCGTAGGCTAGGGATTATAATCCTCACTAAGTAGAGTTCTGAAGGCGCAAGAATTTTTGTGCAGAACTTCTTTCTGCGTTCCGTTTCGTTAGAAAACCGAAATAATGCATATGAGCCATTCTTTTTAAGTCGGACGGATTTCGTAAAAAAAATATGTTGTGTCTCCGATTCGCTTGAACTTTTTTCTGGGGGTTCTATACATGCATAGATGCACAGTTTCAGTTGAAACCGAAATAATCTCTACATTAATGCACAGTCTCCATATGCGCAATTGCGGTTCCTGCATACATATATCCATCAGTAGGTAAATCAACGAAGCCCGCTTGTTTCATTGTACATATGGTATATCCATATGAACATATATATGTACATAGGTACACGAAGCAGGATTGCTTCATTCATATACAAGGTTGCCACTTACTTCTTTTTTGTATACCAAAAAGAGCACCAAAACGTAAAAAGTTTACCAAAATATGTTTTATCTCTATATTTCATTGTTTAAATATTTTCCAAATACACATTGATAATATTTTTAATAAGCCAATTTTTTGAGTTTTTGTGGGCTATTTTATAATGCTGGAACATAACTTTATCAAGATAAATTCTCTGTAGTAATACTTTCAGAGCTGGAGCG